CACTAAAAAGGAACGGGAAGTATTTAATAATAATCACCTTGATCACAATCTTTTCCTTGAAATCCTTTAGCACAGTTGCATTGATAGCCACCGAATGTATTAACGCAAGTAGCGCCATTTTTACAAGGACTGCGGGTTGAACACTCGTTTATGTCTAGAAAATAATTTAAAGAAAGCACCAGTTAACAGTTAACACTTTGCCAATACGTGGAGAAGCTTGTAAAATGGCGAGTCCATGGCTAGCCTCATTCAAGTGATTCAGTACGAACATATAACGTAATTGTTTTGGCCTACTAAACTCTAAAACCTTTCTTAATTAATTTCTTTTTTTTAATCTTAACAAAATTATAAAAAAATAAGTAAGTAAATAAGTAACACGTAAGACCTGAAGGCAACGAACCCGCCCAAAGAGCCCCCTGGTATAAAGCGAACGTCTTTGTTTGCTCTAGTTAAGTATCAGATATAGAACGATCTCTCGCAAGAATGCCGGAACGATTTTCCCGTTTACCTGACACTAGTTGCACTATTGCACAAGCTACGTACCCCCGAAAAAAAGTAAAGTTGGTAGGAAAATAAAAAAAGTGAAACCTCTGCCAAAACAAGGAAGCATCCCATCCATGAAATCAGCGAGAAGTATGACAATAGCTGAATATACTTATTAAGTTTAACTTCATAGTGATTTGAAAATGATCACGAGGCATCAAAGATAACTAAAACTCTTATTTATAATAAAGCCATGAAAGTTTACAAAAAGCGCTTGATAGTCACCTTGGTCACAAAGTTTGCCTGTAAATCCCTGTGTACAGTCACATCTAAAGCTGCCAGGCAAATTGACACATTTCCCACTGTTTTTACAAGGGGAACTCTTACATTCGTCCACATCTAATCAAAAGCATGTTCAAATATAGCATTTATTTTTAATGACTATTTTAAGAGAGGCAGGTAATTGTTAAAAATGTGGTTTGAAAAGGCAACAAATTTACCAACCTGCTATTACAAAAAAATAAAGTTGGATGTACGATAGAGGATTTGCAAATACTTTCAAATGGATTTCAGGGACTGTGCGATAATTACCAGGAGGGGGTTATAAAACCAGAGGGAAGGGGTACCATATGAAATAATAGTCAAAAGGAGGAGGGGCAACACCTTACGTTTTACTTTCAAGAAGAGGGGTTGTATCTACTTTCCTTATGGACAAGCTGTCTCACTAACAATGATACTGATTTCATGCTAGGGACGATTTGATATGAACAAAACATGATTTATATGTGATCAAAATATAATAAAGAACTAGCAATAATTAGTAACAAGGCCATAGATAATCCTGGTTACATAGTATTTTAGCTTATCTCTACTTAACAGAACAGGGTTGTGTCCAGGATTTTAAAAAAGGGGGGTGTCTCGTTATGAGACAAAATGATGTGTCCCTTCTATAGCAATTACTCAAGTAAACACATTTTCAGCCCAACGGAAGTGCAGGTGAACCTCAGCAAACGAGAAAATTGTGCGAATAGCGGGATACGAGGATGTCTCTCCTATTCGATCACATTACAGACATGACGAAAACATGACGCTAAGGGAGATCGAAGAATATTGCTCTTAATGGAAAGTGGGGAATACTTGGAAGTTGGCTTACTGTCACATTTTATTCATGATGAGCCTAGATCCTAGAAAAAATGACTTCTTCATCTCTCCCCAGTTATCTTAAGGAGCGGCAGATCTTACTGAATCTCATTCAGAGGAAGAAGCCATCTCATGCCATCTGGTAGTAAAAGAATGAAGATCTGCGGGAGTAGTTCGCTGAGCGAAAAACAGTTAAGACTGTACCTGAAGCAGCACTATTAACAAGTCAGTGAAGGGAAAGAGAGGCTGGTAGCTCGCGTTCTGAGATATGTTTGTGCTGGTCATGACTTAACTAGATCGAATGTAATGACGCAAATGACTCAGAACTTCAATCCAGTGATTCACATACAGAAGGATTCAAAAGACGATACCCAATGGGACTGTTCTGAAATGGTTGGCTGTGTAGCACAACGAAGTTTTGAGTTAATGCTCCAGACACAGCCGTCAAAAAACGTTACAGTTCATAAGTTTACATAACGAAAGAACATGCATGTGCAAGTCGGGAGTGGGGGAGGGGCTGGTCATAATTTTTAAGTAACCAGGAGGGGGATCAGATCTAACTTGCCTTTGTTGGGAGCGGGCGCTGCGTAATATTATCCTATGTTTGGCTTATTTCCTTCCCCCTGATAATTATTGCACAGTCCCTAATTTAATAATGCACGTTGGCAATAAACACGTTTAAGCTTTCCAAAAAAAAACAAAAATGCGGATAACATTTATAGACTTTTCGGTGTTATAATGACGTCATTTCAAGTTTGAGTATTTTCCTGGTAAACTGTCTTAAATACTTTGCTAACAATTATTACATTACAAAAATATCTTTAGCATCAAAGCCTGGTTGTTGCAGGCACCTAAGATTTCTGTTGTTTATGTCTTTCAGTCTGTTTTCCTTACCATTTTCGCAATTCTTGCCCTGAAAGCCTGCTTTACAGGAACACTTATACCCGCCTTGCTCATTCTGACACGTTCCTCCGTTTTGACATGGTTGATTCTGGCACTCGTCAATGTCTATACAGGAAAAAGAAAAAAAGAAGTTCGTTGGACTAAAACTATTTCATAGTCCTGCGTGCAAAAAAAAAAAAAAAAAAGAAAAAGAGAAAGTAAAAGTAATTGAAAAGGGGCAGATTATTATAAAAGCAAGGCAGACATCACATGCATCCTACCGTTTTCGCAGTGTTTGCCATCATAGCCGCCTTTGCATTTACACTGATAGCTGCCTGGATTGTTGATGCACGTTGCTCCATTCATGCAAGGACTATTTCGACATTCGTCAATATCTAAAATTACACAACATCTTTACCTTTTCCATCCATTAAATAAAACTAGACAGAAAATAAGTATCTTATAAATAGTGAATATGCTTGTGATGACACCTATAGGCTCTTATCTCTCCGTGATTCAATGTAGTTTGCGACAAAAAATAATGACACTCAGTAAACACAGTAAATTCCTTACCGTTTTCACAATTTTTTCCTGTAAAACCACTGACACAACTGCAGTTATAGCTGCCCTGTATGTTTGAGCAAGTTCCTCCATTCTGACAAGGATTTATCTGGCATTCATCAACATCTAAAAATGAGAAACAAAAGGGAGGGACTTACTTCAGTGTTTTTATTTAAACTTTCGTTAACAATTTTAAGAGGAAAAATCTGAGATGGAAAAGCTATGAAAGTTTTAAAAGGAAAAGCTTTTATCCTGCTCGTTTTCTTTGTGTTCCATCGCAATTTTACAGGGAAATTTCACGCACACTCGTTATATAACAGTTTCACCTGATAAATGTGATATTTACCGGCTTGCGAAAGAACTCACCATGATCACAGTGTTTTCCTTGGTATCCCGGGACACAAAGACACTGGTAGCCACCAAAATTGTTAACACAAGTGGCACCATTTTGACATGGATTACTCACTACACACTCGTTTATATCTATAAAGGTAAATAAAAGTAATTTTCTTATGAAAAATAGATAATCCTGCAGGATTCAATGGGAAGTGAGACAGGTTGTTTTGTGCTAAAAGACAGAGCAATTGCGTCTTTTAACACATCCCAAATTATCATTAGAACAAGAAGGCACGTTTTTACATTGGAACTCAGTAACAGTCAATCGTTCAGTCAGTGCATTTTTGGGAAAATCTGTCAAGGTGTCCAAAAGATAAAGTTCTCGATGCTGTTATTTTCTTACCCTGTTTACAATCCTTTCCTTTATAGCCACTGACGCACTTGCAATTATAGCTTCCAGGAACATTTGAACAAGTTCCACCGTTCTTGCAAGGATTAAACTGACATTCGTCGACATCTAAAAGTGAGAAGCAACAGATAGATGGTTTATCGCAGTTAATTATGACTGTGATGATTGGTTTTACTGTACCGAGAAATAACTCACCTTGATCACAATTTTTTCCTTGATATCCTGGGACACAAAGACACTGGTAGTCGCCAACTTTATTAACACAAGTAGCGCCATTTCGACACGGATTGTTAACAGCGCACTCGTTGACATCTGAAACGTATTAAAGGTAAAGTTAACTTTCTGTTTTAAATGAGGGAAGAGCTTTTGAGGAAATCATTTGTCATTCAATCACAGAATTCTATAAGTTACATTTAAATTAAAGCGAACACAGTGAAAGATCTTTTGTAATGTGTCAGCAACTTCTCGCCTGGAGTCGCAGCAGTTCTTGATATGAGCGACGCTCGCCTACGAACGTGGTGTTTTGTTAGTTTGCACAAATGGCACATTAACTAACCTTGTTCGCAGTGTTTGCCTGTGTATCCTTGTGTACAATAACATCTGTAGCTTCCCTTTAGATTCACGCATGTTCCCCCGTTTTTACAGGGACTGATGATGCATTCGTTTACATCTGAAATAACCCACAAAATCATGTTCATGAGGCTGCGAGTTGTTTATTTCTATTATTTTTCTTTTTCGCTTGTTTCTTTTATTTACCTATTTCTTTGTTTTTATCTTCAAAATTTGATCAAATATGGGTGGGTGCGCTATTCGATATTTAACATTAAATAACATAACGACAAGAACTTTTGTTTCAGTATTCCGAGTGGGTACATTGTATTACCTGCATTCATTTATATGAAATTTAAACTTAAATCAAGGCTATGATTAAACAACAAGTTTTTGTCTATATTTCATGCATGAATTTATGTAGGCAGCTAAAAGTCGATATCGACATTGCTAAAAATATGAAGAGGGTTTATACAATTTCAGAGAGGCTGGTGTCCTTGACTGAATAGTTGCTACTGTTATTATTGTGGTCTTTATTACGAGCTTCCTTTCATTCAGAACGCACAAAATAAAGCAACGAAATCAAGTTGGCCTTACGCCTGCTGTAAAAATGTCTAGGTGAAGTAGTTCCTTATGCAGATGCTTTGTTTTAGAAAATGGAGAGGAAATCGTTGATGTCTCCAGGAATAATTACAATACAATTAAATAACTGGTCAAAAAAAGCAGCTTGTACCTTGATCACATTGTTTTCCTTGATATCCTGGGGCACACAGACACTGATATCCGCCAACATTGTTAACACAAGTGGCGCCATTCTTACATGGATTGTTAACCGCACACTCGTTAACATCTGAAAAGGTTTAAAGTTTAAGGCCATTATTTGTCTTTTTTGAATGAGTTTGTTCATATTCAAGTTTTAGAGCTTCTCAAGAATGGTTGCAGCCATAAAAATGAAACTCTAAAGGACTTTTTTGGCTGGACAAGTAACCAACAAGGTAGAAATTTCTATTCATATATTCCCCTATTTTAATATGTTCCTATTTCTCCTACGTTTACCGTAATACAGTAATATAAACACAGTTAACAGAAGGATATGAAGCCGTTTCGCGATGCATATGCCGAGAGGTGATGGATACTAATTACAACTACAATCCTCGTCACATTAGTTTGGACGACTGGGATGTTTTCTGGCCTCCCAATGTTCGTTTGTGCAAGTTGGCATCACAGAAGCAAAAAAATTCAAAACTGGGAGGGAAAGAGCACAACGTTTTGAAGCTGCATCATAGTTTTTGCACTGGGTGTCCCAACCTAATGTGACGAGGATTGTAGCAACAGAGGTCTCTGTAACAATTCTACATTTAGTCTGAAATGGCTGGAAGACAAACACTGACAAAGCTGGAAAAAGGTCGACATTACCTTCCAAGCTGTTTCATTTTACCTTGATCGCAGTGTTTGCCATTGAATCCGATTGTACAACGACAAGTGTAACTACCAACGCTGTTTTCACAACTCGCACCATTCTTACATGGATTCTTTGTTACGCACTCATTGATATCTAGTAAAATAAAATAAGCTCTTCTTGAGCTTCTTCTCTAAGCTTTTTGTTGTCAGAAACCTTTGTCAAAAAAGGAGGAAGTAAAGAAATAAGACTAATACTAATTATATGTCCTTAGAAAAATTAGATTCTACCATAGTTGAAAATGGAAATAATCCTGGGAGTGTTTAGTTATTGCCACGGAACGTTCATTCAGTGTTTCATTAATAAAAAGTATTCGCGCATTTTCGTTCAGTCGACCCAGCTCTCCCTTACGCCTTTCCGAGGGGATCCGGATTAAAGAGGTACCTGTGTTATAATAGTTATATAAATGTTGGGATTCATAAAAGTAGTTCGACAGTACCTTTGTCGCAGTGCTTTCCTTGGTATCCTGGCGCGCAGTGGCAGCGATATCCGTTCAATAAATCATAACAAGTTGCGCCGTTTTTACAAGGCTTGAGAATAACACACTCATTCACAGCTCAGGGTAAAAAAGAAAAAAGAGTTAGTACAGTTTGTAAGACAGCATTAAAGTTGGATAATTTACTGTTGTTAGATTGGACGAAAACAGGGTTTCTCGGTTCTTTCGCACCCTATTATACTTAACGTTAAGCTCAGGTTATGTCCAAGCAAGTACGTTTAAGGTCTGAAACACATTAAATTATGCGTCTACATAACTTTACTTTTCCATGATTTTTCAAAACTTTCCATGCATGGAAAATGAAATTCTTACATTTCAAGACTTTTCAGATTTTCCATGACCCATAAGTACCCTGGGATAACTATCAAAAATAAACTGGTGTTGTAAGGAAGTAGTAAATGAATAAATCTTAGGGTCGTCTGTTTCAGTATTTTCCAGCGGGAGTTTACCAAGCTTTAGCAAAAACAAAACACAGCAGCGTATACTGTGCTTGCAATACGGTAATGGCTAGTTGTTATGAGGTTAAATTAATGTTGCTTTATCATATTTGTAAGTTTGTGATGTCTTCTTACCCAAACCAGCGTTGCCACAGTAACGTAAATGACATGTGGGAGTCCGCTGGAGCTCGTACGCGAAGAAACCACTACACTTTTTCACCTTAATCTTCACAGACCATTTACAGCAGTTGGAGCCCCAGTGGAAACAAACTTGCCTTTCAACGACCGCGCCTACATTAATCGGATGATTTCCATCCAGCCAGCCAGGCGCATGCGTTCCACAATGCCTCTCTCTAACACATGAGTCCGCCATCTTGTCACCAGCAGATCCGTTAAAACGATACCACGCTGGTGAGATCAGTGCAGTTTGGTCACAATCAGCAAGGGCACCCGTGTAGCCTGCTGAACGGTTCAATTCGTCAAGAACTTTGTAATTCACACAGCCATCAAGTACTATAACAAGAAATCGTTTTGAATCAGAAAAAATTTGCAGGAAGAAGGTCGGAGGAAAATACTGAATCAGTTTCGATACCATTGGACCCAAGTGTTACGGTTTACTCTTAAGTCAAGTTAAATCTCAAAACTGAATCGAAAGCCTCACCCTATTTATCCCATGAAGTAGAAATTGGTGGAAAAGGACTTGTTGAAGGTATACTGTTTTAACTCAAAGATCCGCACCTCATAATGGACTATTTTAAGCTGCATTTTAATTTTGTCCAAGAACTTGAAACATCGCAGGTGTTGTTCATTTGGATTGTGATTTATATTCAGATGAGTTTACAGCAATGTATTGAAATGCCCTTTACAATCCTATCCTCAGTTGTATTTGACAATGAGCTTACTTACCCTGTGCAATCAGTCCACCTAATTACCTTTTTCGCAATTCTTTCCGGTAAATCCTGGCCTGCAGGTGCAACTGTAACTTCCATGTTGATTCTGACAAGTACCTCCATTAAGGCAGGGCCGAGTTATACACTCGTTAACATCTAGTAAAAGAACAAAGTGCCGGTAATTATTGTACAGCATTCGCAATAACATTGGCTTACTGTATTGACAAGCATTAAAAAATATGATTATGAGTTGAATCAGTCTTTTTCGTGACGATATCACAGTCTGTCGATTCCCTTTCCAGAGTTAAAGCATTACACTTTCTAACCAAACACAGAACCGGTCGGATGGACTAGTCATTTGGATATGAAGTAGGGTTTGCAAGAGTTTTTACTCGACTAGACAAATCTAGATAGACAGTCCTGATTCTTAGGGGAATTCTCTAGATGACCGTTCTGGTCTGGTAGACCAGGAATATCATTTACCCACCTTGTTCGCAGTTCTTTCCTTGAAAGCCCGGAACACACTGGCAAGTATAACCTCCGAGACTTGAAACGCAAGTAGCCCCGTTCTTACAAGGCCTGCTTACTTTACATTCATCTACACAAAACAAATTTAGACAGTTATATCTTAAAGGAGTACGTAACTACTGCTATTACTACCACAACTTTACTCTGGGCAATGTCACCTTGTTATGGTGGTGAGCCTTTCGCGTCTTAATGATGCCATGAGCTACACGGGAGGGGGTTATGGTGGGTCTACTTAACATGCCAGATCAATGGTCGAGGTTGCCAGACCAGAAAATGGACGTTTTCTATCACAAGATTTTGGGCGTTTAGAATAGGATTAAAAAACACTCCGTACAAAAATATCCTCAAGTGATTATGGAAAAAATAAACGACTTTGTAGTGTGTATAAAAGTTTGGAAAAGCCTAGTTCCTGGCCACTTTCAGTCTTGAGGAAAAGGAACTATATGATTATGACGACAAAGACAACGCAGACAATGATGATGATAATGATAGTTACCACCAAAATTACTACTTGTCCACTACAACTGCACTATACAGATATTACAGGAACTTTAGGTCCCTTGGATATTCCCTTAGGACATAATATCGATAACGCAAAGCGAGGTTTAATGTTTTCGAACACTTTTTTATTTGTCTTGTTGCAACACGTTATCAACGAATCCTGCACTAACACAGTAACGCAACCAACATACAGAAGTCCTTTTTGATCCTACTGGAGACAAAGAAGATTTTTTTTACTTCAAAATCAGGCGCGTCAGAGACAGCTGCTTCTACCGAGTAAATACGTGATACTATAAGACAGATTATCTTAAACTCACCAAATCCTGCATTTCCACAATATCGTAACCAGCATACAGGTGTTCTTACAAGTTTGTAAACGTAAAATCCGTTGCACCTCTTTATCTGGATGTTGGCATGCCAATTACAACATTTATTTCCCCAGTGAAAGCACACTTTGCCGTTAACAACCTGACCAGTTCTTGTCGGGTGCGCAGTGCTTAACCATCCAGGTGCGTGTGTTCCACAGTAATGCTTTAGAACACAGGTAGATGGCATCCGAGTACCAGCTGATCCAGTAAACCTGTACCATTTGGGGGTCGCCAAGTCCTTCTGGTCACATTTCAGAGTATTTCCTCTGTGGACACCTGCAGCCCGCTGACGATCGCTGAGTTGCTCGTAGTGTTTACATTCATCAAACACTACAGTAAATAAAGGATACAAAAGACTATTTTTTTCTAATTATTGGCCTGTCGCAATTTCGAATATTTTTACACAGCATCCGTTATTTTTTTTTTTGTTTTCCTTACCCTACATCAAGACAAAGTAACTGATTATTTGTATACAGATAGTTTGAGAAACGACAAGTTTGATGAAGCATCATAATAATGATCCTCGTTCATGATTGTAAATTTCCAGCTGGTTCACCTGAGGCCAGCTGGGATTCTTTACCCTGTTATGTAAGCTGGATTTGAGTTATTTGTTTTAGGCATTTGCTAGGCCCCACTAGCATAAGTGCTATAAATAAATACTACCAAGAGTAAACAAAGGACATTATTATTATCGTGAAAGGTTTGAACCCAGGAGTCATTTCAAATTTTCCTTACCCAACATCAAGACAAAGTAACTGATTATTTGTATACAGATAGTTTGAGAAACGACAAGTTTGATGAAGCATCATGATAATGATCCTCGTTCATGATTATCATCGATTATTATCATCGATTCCTCGGGCAAAATGTAACAGCTAAATAAATTTAAGCATAAAACAACGAAGAAAAAACTTTCACAAAAAACAAACATGAAATAATTAGGATGCAAATTACCTACCAATTTCACATTGCTTGCCCAAGAATCCTGGCTTGCATTGACATCTGTAGCTTCCTGGAAGGTTTTGACACGTTCCTCCATTCCGGCAAGGTCTACTGTTGCATTCATTTACATCTGCCAGTAGAGAACAAACAGGGTCAACTTTTGAGTTTCACTTAATTCATTTCTTATATTGTCCTTCAGACAGTCTTTTATAAAGGAAAATACTCGTGAATTTGTAATATATCCGAATGTTTTAACTGCTAGTTTGTTTCTCTTATAGCTTGCACGCATTCGTAGCCCAGGCGGCTTCGGATAAAATCTTTACAAGTACATAGATAAGAAACTCAGAAGGAAGGAAGGTTTTGACACGTTCCTCCATTGCGACAAGGTCCAGAGGTACATTCATTGACGTCTGCAAGTAAAGCAGTGTTATTAACTTATTTTGTTATTTAACTCCATCAAGTAAAACTTCAAAACAATATTACGTTCGTTAAAATAGTTTCCCAGAAATAGTTTTTTCTACATCTTCTCTAAAAGCAAGCCTCCCAAATATTACTTTAAACGGCACAATATAAATTTTTTGTTCTACTTTCATATATAAAAAACAAAGGTTGGTTACTTACCTTGTTCACAGTTCCTTCCTTGGTAACCAGGCTTGCAGCGACAGATGTAATCACCATTGTTATTAACACATGTTGCGCCATTTTGACAAGGCCTGCTTGCTTTACATGGGTCTGAGGAGTTTTGTCAGATGTAAAATGAATAAATAAGTTAGTTAATTATTTTGCTAAATCTACATTTTCCCAATGACATACATGCTTACACTTTAACGTGGATTTCCAATATCGCATGATCTTCTTTACCTGCGTACGCAGGTAAATTTTAGGCGCCTAAATAAAATAGAGCTAATGTGGGAAGGTCACGGGGAAGCGTTAAAGTTGAACCTCGCTCAGCTTTTACGTTTACGCGCGGCCCTTCAAACATCACCTCCATTTTATTTAAGCGCGTAAAATTTACGTGCGTACTAAAATGAAAATTTCGCGAAGGTGGAGATCCACCCTTAGTTATCTTCGTTCTTTACTTAGGGGAATTTTACAAACAATTAATGGTTCGACCCCTTCACTCACCGAATCCTGCATTTCCACAGTATCGTAACCAGCATACAGGTGTTTTTACAAGTTTGTAAACGTAAAATCCGTTGCACCTTTTTACTTGGATGTTGGCATGCCAATTACAACATTTATTACTCCAGTGAAAACACACTTTGCCGTTAACAACCTGACCAGTTCTTGTCGGGTGCGCAGTGCTTAACCATCCAGGTGCGTTTGTTCCGCAGTAATGTATTGGCACACATGAGGTAGGCATCTGAGTACCAGCTGCTCCAGAAAATCTGTACCATTTGGGAGTCGTCAGGTCTTTCTGGTCACATTTCAGGGTGTTGCCTCTGTGGACTCCTGCAGCTCGCTGACGATCACTCAGTAACACGTAATGTTTACACTCGTCAAATACTACAATACAGAATATAGTAAATAGCAATTCAACATAAAAACAAAACTACTCCTTTAGGATTGAATAGACCATTTCCGGGTTCCCCCGTGTCTCTGTATCAATTCGAGGTTAAGAGCTCGGCCTTTGATATGGAGATGATTTTTTATTCTCATGCAAATATAACTCATTTTCACAAAAATGTTGTGCACTTAGCCTCATTTTGAAAGTTAGGGTCTTTGGAACTCGGAAGTGGTCTATTAGTCAGTAACTAAACAGACTGTACTGCTGTGTCGGTGGTGCAGTTTAGGAGTTACTCTTCTTTTCTTATACTGCCGAATTTTGTGCCAGTTAAAAATCAATTTGAATATCAACGATCACGGTTAAATATAACAACCTCACTTTGATCGGCAATGGAATAATTTACAAGCGCATCAAGGTACTAGAAAGGATAAAAAATGAAAAAAAGACGTAAGTATGAACAATACGTACCGATTTCACAGTGGTTGCCAAGAAATCCTGGTTTGCATTTGCATCTGTAACTTCCTGGAAGGTTTTCACACGTTCCTCCATTGCGACAAGGTCTAGTGTTACATTCATTGATGTCTGCAAGTAACGCATATAAGTTAATCAATTCTTAAAATTCGAGTCATTCCTGTTTTATTGTTTTGTTTTTGTTTCTGTTTTTTTGTTGTTTTTTTTTTTTGGTTCAGTTAAGCCAAATTTCCAACAGGATTACGCTGGTGAAACAAGTTCTTTTCTTTCGACTTCTCTAAAAGCATGCTTCTAAAACATATTACTTTAAAAAGACAATATAACTATTTTACCTTGTTCACAGTTCCTCCCTTGGTAACCAGGCTTGCAGCGACAGATGTAATCGCCGTTGTTATTAACACAGGTTGCGCCATTTTGACAAGGCCTGCTTGCTTTACATGGGTCTTGGGAGTTTTGGGAGATGTAAAATGAATGATAAGTTAGTTAATTATTTGTGTTAAATCTACATTTTCCTCAGAAACTTCATGTTTACACTTTAGCTCTTATATTAGAGAACTTTAGCAGACAATAAAGGGTTTAACCCCTTCACTCACCAAATCCTGCATTTCCACAGTATCGAAGCCAGCACACCGGTGTTTTTACAAGTTTGTAAACGTAAAATCCGTTGCACCTTTTTACTTGGATGTTGGCATGCCAATTACAACATTTATTACTCCAGTGAAAGCACACTTTGCCGTTAACAACCTGACCAGTTCTTGTCGGGTGCGCAGTGCTTAACCATCCAGGTGCGTTTGTTCCGCAGTAATGTATTGGCACACATGAGGTAGGCATCTGAGTACCAGCTGCTCCAGAAAATCTGTACCATTTGGGAGTCGTCAGGTCTTTCTGGTCACATTTCAGGGTGTTGCCTCTGTGGACTCCTGCAGCTCGCTGACGATCACTCAGTAACACGTAATGTTTACACTCGTCAAATACTACAATACAGAATATAGTAAATAACAATTCAACATAAAAACAAAACTACTCCTTTAGGATTGAATAGACCATTTCCGGGTTCCCCCGTGTCTCTGTATCAATTCGAGGTTAAGAGCTCGGCCTTTGATATGGAGATGATTTTTTATTCTCATGCAAATATAACTCATTTTCACAAAATGTTGTGCACTTAGCCTCATTTTGAAAGTTAGGGTCTTTCGAACTCGGAAGTGGTCTATTAGTCAGTAACTAAACAGACTGTACTACTGTGTCGGTGGTGCAGTTTAGGAGTTACTCCTCTTTTCTTATACTGCCGAATTTTGTGCCAGTTAAAAATCAATTTGAATATGAACGATCACGGTTAAATATAACAACCTCACTTTGATCGGCAATGGAATAATTTACAAGCGCATCGAGGTACTAGAAAGGATAAAAAATGAAAACAGACGTAAGTATGAACAATACGTACCGATTTCACAGTGGTTGCCAAGAAATCCTGGCTTGCATTTGCATCTGTAGCTTCCTGGAAGGTTTTCACACGTTCCTCCATTGCGACAAGGTCTAGTCTTACATTCATTGATGTCTGCAAGTAACGCATATAAGTTAATCAATTCTTAAAATTCGAGTCATTCCTGTTTTATTGTTTTGTTTTTGTTTCTGTTTTGTTGTTGTTGTTTTTTTGGTTCTGTTAAGCCAAATTTCCAACAGGATTACGCTGGTGAAACAAGTTCTTTTCTTTCGACTTCTCTAAAAGCATGCTTCTAAAACATATTACTTTAAAAAGACAATATAGCTATTTTACCTTGTTCACAGTTCCTCCCTTGGTAACCAGGCTTGCAGCGACAGATGTAATCGCCGTTGTTATTAACACAGGTTGCGCCATTTTGACAAGGCCTGCTTGCTTTACATGGGTCTTGGGAGTTTTGGGAGATGTAAAATGAATGATAAGTTAGTTAATTATTTGTGTTAAATCTACATTTTCCTCAGAAACTTCATGTTTACACTTTAGCTCTTAAATTAGATAACTTTAGCAGACAATAAAGGGTTTAACCCCTTTACTCACCAAATCCTGCATTTCCACAGTATCGAAGCCAGCACACCGGTGTTTTTACAAGTTTGTAAACGTAAAATCCGTTGCACCTTTTTACTTGGATGTTGGCATGCCAATTACAACATTTATTACTCCAGTGAAAGCACACTTTGCCGTTAACAACCTCACCAGTTCTTGTCGGGTGCGCAGTGCTTAACCATCCAGGTGCGTTTGTTCCACAGTAATGTATTGGCACACATGAGGTAGGCATCTGAGTACCAGCTGCTCCAGAAAATCTGTACCATTTGGGGGTCGTCAGGTCTTTCTGGTCACATTTCAGGGTGTTGCCTCTGTGGACTCCTGCAGCTCGCTGACGATCACTCAGTAACACGTAATGTTTACACTCGTCAAATACTACAATACAGAATATAGGAAAAAAAAAATTCAACATAAAAACAAAACTACTCCTTTAGGATTGAATAGACCATTTCCGGGTTCCCCCGTGTCTCTGTATCAATTCGAGGTTAAGAGCTCGGCCTTTGATATGGAGATGATTTTTTATTCTCATGCAAATATAACTCATTTTCACAAAATGTTGTGCACTTAGCCTCATTTTGAAAGTTAGGGTCTTTCGAACTCGGAAGTGGTCTATTAGTCAGTAACTAAACAGACTGTACTGCTGTGTCGGTGGTGCAGTTTAGGAGTTACTCTTCTTTTCTTATACTGCCGAATTTTGTGCCAGTTAAAAATCAATTTGAATATCAACGATCACGGTTAAATATAACAACCTCACTTTGATCGGCAATGGAATAATTTACAAGCGCATCAAGGTACTAGAAAGGATAAAAAATGAAAAAAAGACGTAAGTATGAACAATACGTACCGATTTCACAGTGGTTGCCAAGAAATCCTGGTTTGCATTTGCATCTGTAGCTTCCTGGAAGGTTTTCACACGTTCCTCCATTGCGACAAGGTCTAGTGTTACATTCATTGATGTCTGCAAGTAACGCATATAAGTTAATCAATTCTTAAAATTCGAGTCATTCCTGTTTTATTGTTTTGTTTTTGTTTCTGTTTTTTTGTTGTTTTTTTTTTGGTTCAGTTAAGCCAAATTTCCAACAGGATTACGCTGGTGAAACAAGTTCTTTTCTTTCGACTTCTCTAAAAGCATGCTTCTAAAACATATTACTTTAAAAAGACAATATAGCTATTTTACCTTGTTCACAGTTCCTCCCTTGGTAACCAGGCTTGCAGCGACAGATGTAATCGCCGTTGTTATTAACACAGGTTGCGCCATTTTGACAAGGCCTGCTTGCTTTACATGGGTCTTGGGAGTTTTGGGAGATGTAAAATGAATGATAAGTTAGTTAATTATTTGTGTTAAATCTACATTTTCCTCAGAAACTTCATGTTTACACTTTAGCTCTTAAATTAGAGAACTTTAGCAGACAATAAAGGGTTTAACCCCTTCACTCACCAAATCCTGCATTTCCACAGTATCGAAGCCAGCACACCGGTGTTTTTACAAGTTTGTAAACGTAAAATCCGTTGCACCTTTTTACTTGGATGTTGGCATGCCAATTACAACATTTATTACTCCAGTGAAAACACACTTTGCCGTTAACAACCTGACCAGTTCTTGTCGGGTGCGCAGTGCTTAACCATCCAGGTGCGTTTGTTCCACAGTAATGTATTGGCACACATGAGGTAGGCATCTGAGTACCAGCTGCTCCAGAAAACCTGTACCATTTGTGGGTCGTCAGGTCTTTCTGGTCACATTTCAGGGTGTTGCCTCTGTGGACTCCTGCAGCTCGCTGACGATCACTCAGTAACACGTAATGTTTACACTCATCAAATACTACAACACAAATTATAATAAATAACAATTTAACATAAACATAAAATTACCCCTTTAGGATTACAGAATTAAACGCGTTTCGATACCGATATTTTTCAATCGCCTAAAATGTGAGTTTATCTTTTTCCGATCTCTATCAAATTTTCACTTCAAAGTGACTTTGGATTGAAGTTTGTTGAAATACACTTTTAAGTAAAATCGACGTCACTATGACAACAATAAACAAAAAACTTTGAAATCACGAATAGAAGGTAAATTTTACGCGATCTAGACTTGCTACTGAAAAACCCAACACCAGGATAACGTTCAAATTATTTACCGATTTCACAGTGTTGACCAAGGAATCCTGCCCTGCATTTGCATCTGTAGCTTCCTGGAAGATTCTCACAAGTTCCACCATTGCGACAAGGTCTAGAATTACATTCGTTCATATCTAGAAGAAAAGCAAGTCAGTTTTGAATGCCTTTCAACGACCGTTCCCGAATTTAAGTTTTTGGATCGATGGATGTACTTTTAATAAATGCTTAGGATTTTCTAGCGATATTGCATCAAAAAACAACGTATATTCTAATTATAAACACACAATTAAAAAAATACTGGGGGAGTAATCATCATATTTTATGGCCGGTTTAGTTAGCGGGTAAGACGAAGTGCATCCTGTGTACTGATTTTCTATCCGAGCAGAGAAGATGGGCCTGTTTTGCGTGCAGGGATGTTCTCTGTTGAGTCCAACAAGAAGAAGTTCTCATTGACAAACCTTTTGTTCGTTTAAGATACTCGCTTCGTTCTTTTTTGGGTGAAAGTGATTGACCTCGACTTCGCCTCGGTCCATAAAACGCTAAAAAAATTATTGGGTAATATCCAGCCGTATTTTGGTCAATTATCCACCCATTTTACTAGTTGCTTTAAAAATTGATATTCTTTAATTTGCCACCCAGGCCGTCTTGGAATTCTAGCTTATAACATATTTTAGCGAGCCAGCGTGTTTAATTTTGTCGTGTGTTAAACTGACTTGTGATTATTAAGCTTGCAATAACTGAGGAGTTTACCATGTTCGCAGTTTCTTCCTTGATAACCTTGCTTACAGCGGCAAGTATAACCATTATTCGTTGACATACATGTGGCACCATTTTTGCAGGGATTGCTTACTCTGCATATATCTAACAAATAAAAAGATCCAACAGATATGGACTTCGTTGCAACCCTTCTTATTCCTGAATCGTCCCTGACAATATTAATGAAAAGACACCGGCACTTTGACAGACACCCTCTGAGGGGTGGCCTGCAAAATTACGTATAAAGGTGCAGGGCTTCAGTTTTTCGAGCACTAATTAATTTTATGTAAGCGTTTTCAGGTACGTTACACCTGTCGGTCAATGACGAGGAAATAATGGACTGACATTGTCCCACGATCGTATGCGCCGAACTTGTTTATTATCTTATCGGGAGGATCTTCCCTCCCATAGGCGTACGGGCCGGGGGGGGCGAGGGGGGCTGCAGCCCCCCCAAATTTTGGGCAACTCAGCTTTTTTGGGGCAGCAAGCGAAAATTTGGGCAAAGCCTGTTTTTAAAGACGTCTTCATGTTTATTTAATTATTTTGAAGACCTGAATATTAACCTGAAATCGGCGTAATAATCCAGTTACATTGACACGAGACAGTAATCGCCTAATATGTGATGAGTAATTTACATATTTCTTTTTTTGTTATTGTTGGGCACCGTACTGCACTGCACTAGCTGGAATGGGCTATCCAGTCGTGAATTGATTAGAATAAACTTTCACATAATTATAACTTTCTAGAATCATCTCCACTCGAAGAACAGGGTGGGTCTGAAAACGGAAAGTAGACCGAAATGTTTACAAAACCGCTAACAAGAGCGCCGCGATACATACTAATCAAATCCTTCTTTCTAGCAATGGGGCAGAGCTATCTCCACGATCTTTCACACACGTTTTTAAAAAGATTAAAACTACTATGGGGTGAAATTGGATGTCAAAAGCGCTTCGTTTTCTACAGATAACGGCCAAACCTCACGATTTTCCTTTCCTTATCGTATTTCTAACGGTAAAAACTTCATCCCAAACTATCTCGATAAAGCTCTTACAGATTTTGCTTAAACTTTGGAAACATCGAGAAGACCGTATTGGGGAAAAAAGCTCTTGTGAACGATTTTGTAAGGCTCCCAGTGACGAGAATTTTTAATTTTGTTGAAGTAAAATAGGTAATGGCATGATTTCTATGCTATGACAACACCGATGTTATTGCAACCCTGATCAATATGACAAATTTTCATCTACTGTGGTGGTAATTTTTCCTAATGTTTGTTTATGACGACGTAGTTTATGCTCATACTTGGCATTTACCCTGAAAAACTGTATCGAGCCACCTTCATACGCCAGTACGACCTATGTTGTTGAAATATGGCCCTCGTTTCTTTTCGACTCTTTTGCAAAAAATTTGGGACACTTGCGAGAATTTTTTGGGCAAATGGGTTTACCCCCCCCCCCCCCCTGCCAAAAAATTTCGCGTACGCCTATGTTCCCTCCAACCCTGATCCAACCCTCTTCGAACCAAAACAATAATCGTTTATAACTATTTTTCCGTTTAAGTGCAGTCAGTTGTAGGAGAACTTGGCAAGACTACTGAGTTTGATCTGAACGGCAACAGATTCCTATTAATTCAAATTTCCATCAGTGGCGATTTTTACAAGTTACAGCTTCATCCAGGGGCCTCCTGCTTCATTCTGAAATTGCAATTTAATATAGCTCTAATGCAAATTTACATGATAGTTTTGCCAAAGTTCCATTGCTTTTAATATAAGTGAAAAGGGGCGACTTTTTTGAGCCGGAAATGTGGCAGTTTACCGAAAACCTAGGCATAGGGCACTATAATTCTACAACTCACCGAATCCCGCATTGCCACAATACCGAAGCCAGCACACAGGAGTCTTTCCGAGCTTATATACATAAAATCCGTTACACTTCTTTATCTGAATGTTTGCTTTCCAGTTGCAGCATCTTCCTCCCCAGTGAAAACACACTTGGCCGTTAACAATTTGTCCAAGTCTTGTGGGATGAGCCCCATTGAGCCATCCAGGTGCGTGCGTGCCGCAGTAATGCTTTGGAACACAGGAGGTCGGCATCATAGTTCCAGATGAACCAATAAACCTGTACCATTTAGTGTCTGGCATATCTTTTTGGTCACACTTAAGAACATTGCCCCTGTGAACCCCTGCAGCTCTTGTTCTGTCATTTAGCTGGACATGGTGTGAACACGGATCCGATACTGAAAATTAAATTATGAATAGAGTAAAAAATAGCACTATCCACCTGATATTAAATCCCAATCCAGTGGATAAGTATTAAGAAAAACCAATTGAGTTATGGTCTGGACACAGATTTATCTATCTGCCTTTGGAATAGCTGGGGCCAGGATGTTAAGATTAGTTATCTAAAAGTAACTTCCCTTCTTTTTTAAGATGAAATCTTTATCGTCAACAACAGAGCCATCTTTGGTTAGATCCTTATTTATATAAAAATACATTTAAAAATTAGATCTAAAAACAAGGGATTAGGAATTCAAAGGGGATTATCTATTTTTCTGAGTGTTCTCTTTCATGAGGCATTATACAGCAGCTTAACACCTTTATTCGTACATATTTTTGGCTCGAAAGGGTTTTTTGCTTTGCGAATTTCCACCTGAATTTCGGGGTATTTAGAAGACGGCCGGGAAAGCTCTCATGTAGGTTATAAACCTTACAGTTTTTTGAGATTTTGCGATCTAAACATTCCTTGTCTCAGAATAAACACTAGATTCAATCCTTAAGGTTTCTTCTCAAACTGTAAAGTCCCGTTTTTAAAATGTAACGAAACTCAGAAAAAGATGTTCCTGTTGGTTCCAGGCCGCCATACTAATGCCCCTCAAAGGGACACCAACATGGCGTCTCCATACAAACCCTTATAATAAATTTAGATAAAACATTTTCCTGCGTATCTCGCATGTGAAATATCGCACATACGTGATTTTTGGCAAGGCTTCTGGCATATTTAAGCTATCTATTTTACTTCCCAGATTCGTGACTTTCTGTATTGAATGATTTCGATTTTTATTTTTGATGACGAGACAGTGAAAACAGCGAATTGCCAATACACGGAGGATTCTTTGCTTAAGATACTCACAAGTTTCACAGTGTCTTCCAACATAACCTGGTCTGCATTTGCATCTGTAACTTCCCGGAAGATTCTCACACGTTCCACCATGGCGACAAGGTCTTCTGGTACATTCATTTACATCTTAAATTTAACAAACACAATTTTGTTATCTGAAACACTTCACCTCTACATTTTATCGGTTTTATTGTTGTCTGTATTCTCTTAAACATTCTTCATCCGCTGTGTCAGTTAAGGAGTTTCAAATCAGCCCTTTTTTTAGCTGCAGCGACTTGATGCCATACATGTATATTGCTCGTTTTTCTTGGTAGCCTATCAACCACATGTACAAAAAACACATAATATACCGATGCCATTGAAGTTCTTCTTCTTCGTTAAAATCAAAGAAGATGCATCTAGCGTGACCTTTCCTAACATAACCCTTTCAGTTGTCGAGGATCAATTGCATTTCAGTTCTTTTCATGGTGATGGTATTTAAACTTTTGCACTTCCAAGTTCTTACCTTGGTCGCAGTTCTTTCCTTGGTAGCCTGGCCTACAGCGGCACGTATAACCATCTTGGGTAGGGATGCACGTGGCACCATTTTTGCAAGGTTTGCTCACTTTACAAATATCTGGCACAGTAAAAGTTATAGTAAAACGTGACTTAACTGGTTTCTTTATTTTTTGTGAATAAACAATAACATTGTGTTTCTCTTAATTGAGCCGTATTTTAGAGGAAAGCATTCATTTGTGTTTAATGTATTTTCGTTTTGTTACGTCAACTGCCTGGTCCCAGTCGTTCAAAAGCTGAATTGCGTAATCCACCTGATAAATCACTATCCAGTGGATAAATATTAGAGAAACCAATTTACGCAGTGTACATTGGATGAAGAATTAAACGGGGCATAGTGCCATCCACCTTTTGAACAACTGGGGCATGAAATTTTGCGAAAGGCTTCATTCATTATGTAGGGGAAGAGAGGGAGGCAGAGGATTACGAGGGGGGTCTTGACATTTTCTGAGGAGAGTAGTAGAATTTTCTGAAGGCAGCAGTAGTTTTAAATACTACTGCCATGTGATGGCTTATCAAAATAAATCCCCTAAATTCCCTTATTTCCAAGTTCAAAAATTGATTTAATTAAACAGCTGTTAGTTTAAATAACAACAGTTAGCCATCTGCTATTGTTTCTTTTGTTTTCAAAGAGTAGCGCTTCAAAAAAAAAGGTTCCAATTAATAATTTTTCCAAATTTCGTAAAAAAGCTTGTTAAGTAAATCTTAGTACTATTTGTTCAAGGTAATTCAATACCCAGTTCAATCCACACCATCGTCCCAAACTACCTTTACCGAATCACAGATCAAATCTTCATCAACACCGACTTCATTATCTCCCATTATGGCTTGTTTTCATTCTCATAACACACATCATCCTTGCTTTTATCCTTTTCATCATCATTACCATTCGTTATCTAAATAAACCCACTTACGCCCACTTTAATTATTTTTCAAGGCTTTTTTAAAAGCTTTTTTAAAAGCTTTAAAAAAAAGCTCACATTCTGCATTCGTCATACCATATCGACACAAATGCATCCTACTGATCCTATATTTTTTATTACAGTCGAACCTCTCGATACGGGCACCTCTCTAATATGGAAACCTCTATATTAAAGGGAACCTCCACTTCAACAAAAAGATAACTTTAAATCACTGGAAATAACTGTTACAGGCAATCCGTTTGTATCTTTTAGAATTTTTGTTTTCAAATTTTGGACACCTCTATATTATTAAAAAAAGCTCTTTGTTCAGAACAATGTCCCGACAAAATAAGCGATTTTAAAATTCACTTTTCTCTTTTTTGAGGACAAACGAACAAATTTTTTTTTTAAAAAAACTTATTCTGTAGTAAGAGTGGAGGTTCTATAATACGGACAAAATTCTCATTTTTTTCTTTTTTTTATAATACGGACTCGAACAACGAACAACACTTAATCTCGGCCTCAGAGAGAAAATTTATACAAACTTAACGTCTTTATCACGGACACTGCGGTGATCAGGTGAATCTGCGCAAGGTGAACCCGTCTGGCTGATGATCGAGCTATGCAAGGTTATTTTAGCGAAAGCCCAGTCGCTGTATATCAAACAACGATTTGCGAAAGGTACACAGAGGAGCATAACCGACTTGTTAAAGCCTTAAATGACTTCAGATAGCATAAAGATCTTTTCTGTTACATTTTGTACTCTAGTTACTGTTTACTGCACTTGCAAAATAGCAAAAGACGCTAATTCAGAATTGTGATTTACGTCACAACTTTTTACAAGCAGCATTGAGCTGTAGCTCGTTTCTTTTTAAAACAGTGATTTGTCTTTACGTGCGTAGCTGATATGTACAATGTTGTATGCTACTGAAAGACTGTCTTTGTACTGTGATTAATAAACTTAAATGCAGTTTAAACACGAGTGTGGGCCAGGTTTTAGCTACCGAACACTTGAAACTGTAAGTGGAGTCGTAAAAGTGACGTCATCGTAGTGACCTCTTTTATACGGATACCTCTCTAATACGGACACTTCGCTCTGTTCCTTCGGTGTTCGTATTAGGGAGGTTCGACTGTATTATTATTATTATTTTAAACTCCTTTTGATAGAAAAAAAATTCTTACCAAGGTAAATGTTAAACCAGTGCATAAATGATGTAGCTTGAGCTGATCATTTGGCTTTAATTAATTAGAACAGGGTACATAATTTCATTTTCTCTTCTTCTGGCCGAAAAGGAGGGTGCCAAAAAATTTGGTATGATATGGGGGATATGAGAGAAATACCTCTCCCTAAAATATACACAGTAAATGTAGCTTAATTGCCAAAAGTTTTAGTTTATAAAAAATAATGGTTAAAATTGGAGAGTAAGTAAGTAAAGACTTTATTTTACGAGCGTTAGCACGAAATAGCCGGGGCTAATTATAATAAACTTGTGGCCCTCTAAAAAAGGCAAAGAAAGGCTGTGGTATTTCGTTACCTTTGCAAGGGACAAACAAAAAGCAAAGACAACAAACATTTTCTTTCTGAAGAAAACATTAGCAAGAAAGAAATAAACATCACTTTCTTGCCCTAAAAAATTAAAAAACAACTCACCAAATCCGGCATTGCCGCAATATCGAAGCCAACAGTGAGGAGTCTTTCCAAGCTTATAGACGTAAAAACCATTGCATTTCTTTATTTGAACATAAGTATGCCAGTGACAACAGCTTCCTCCCCAGTGAAAACAAACTTTGCTGCTAACAGTTTGTCCAACTCCTGTTGGATGCGCACCGCTCAACCACCCAGGTGCATGTGTTCCACAGTAATGTTTTGGAACACACGAAGTGGGCATCAAAGTTCCAGATGCACCGGTAAATCTGTACCATTTAGTTGCCAGGTCCTTCTGATCGCATCTAAGAGTGTTGCCACGGTGGACGCTTGCAGCCCGAGTTTTGTCGTTTAGTTGTTGATAATTCGTGCATCCGTCGTCGCCTTTAAAGAAACAATACTTGTTTAACATTCTTTCTGGTTTAAAAGTATAAAAAACAGCCTTGATAGTTTTAGGATATATTGACCAAGATGTAAAGCACTCATTGGAGGAAATCGTACGGAAACCCTTTAATCTTTGCATTAGCTTTGGACATCTTTCAAAATGCTTTTATTCAAATGAACCTAGCGCTTCGACAGCGACGGCAACGGAAACGTCAAAAGAGCACACGTTTAATAAGTAAAAAAACAATTCTGCACATGTAGCACACTTTTTTACATTTTTTGCTGTTACTGCACGACTAAAACGACTGAGAAATTCCCGCACGACATGTTTTATAGAGGACAGAAAAACACACCACGGAGATATTTTCTTTCTCCTTCTAAATTTGGGCTCGGTCCACAAGTCAAGTCCTGGGAATTTCTGCAGGCGTCATTTAAAGTGAGCTGAAACAATCGCGGCAAACTTAAAAAAACGCAAAAAATAATAATAATAATAATAGTGACGTTTTCACTGCCGTTGCTCACTTCGCTACTAAAGCTCCCTGTAAATTTAAATCAAATGTAGAAGTGCGAATGGTGTCGAAAATAAGGTTGAGCGGTAGTCTGCAGAGGTTTAGGCCGAGGGTTCCATTCCCTGGACCAGATCAATAGGCTAAAAGTAACTAAGAAGACGACTGACCACGTTAACATGGTGGGACCGTTTTTGGTAAGGGGCCGTAACTAACATTACCAAGTATTAAATAATGAAGAGGAACACTAAGTAGCTTACCAAAGCCTGCATTTCCACAATAACGAAGATGACAAACCGGTGTTTTTGTGAGCTTGTAGATATAGTACCCGTTACACATCTTTATTTGGATATTTGCAGACCAACGACAACACTTTCCAGACCAATGAAAGCAAACTTTCCCGTTGACAATCTGTCCAACCCTGGTGGGGTGGGGAGTGCTTAGCCAGCCTGGCGCGTGTGTTCCGCAGCGCTGCTGGGGCACGCACTTAGTTGGCATTTCCGTGCCTGAGGCTCCCATAAAGCGGTACCATCTGGTTTGGGGAATGTCCTTCTGATCACATTTCAAGACAGCACCCCTGTTTAAACTTGCAGCTCTTGTTTTATCATTGAGCACCTGATACCTTTGACAATCATCATGTCCTGAAGATTTTACGAAGTTACATTAACACTAGTTAGATAAAACTCTGTTGCCCGGGAGGACTCAAAAACGTTTTGTAGGGAGAAGCACCGAGGTCCAACCCCTTAACCTTTTGTATACCATGTTTTGACAGAAAATGTACCCCTTTCGTATATCTTCTATTGAACAAATTGTAGCCTTTTCACATAACTAGTTTAGAACTTTGCATCCCTTTCACCTGCTGCAAATGCACTGTCTTTAAAACATAATAAATGACAAAACCAGACCGTTTACTTGACTTTTTCTCCACCATAAAATCCGTCTGTTTAGCCTTTTTGAGCTTTTTACCGACCTAAAATGGCAGATTTTTCTAGCCTTTCATATTCTTCAACAAGTGAAATCCCTTCCTTTTCATATACCTGAGGCTTGAAAAAGGTACCACGTTCGGGCGGAGCCTCCCCGTATAGGCCTTAGGACTTACCCCCTGGGTTATGTTGCTATTTGATTTGGATTTAATAATGATATTGAAAACAAAATAGGTTTAAAAAATCTAAAGAGATAACTGTGTACAAAAACCCATTTCACCCCGTTCAGTTTTAACTCGAGGGAGTATGAAGTCATGGCCTCTATATCTAAAGCCCTCCTCTATTACGTTTAGGGACCAGGTTATATAATACATACTCTACAAGACCAGTGTCTCTAGTGATGGTTAACAGTTAAAGGTGGATCAATCCTTATTCTTCATTACATTAGATATATTAAAACGATTTTATTTTTATAGCCAAAATGCCAGGAACACCGACTGGGGACGTCAATCCGATATAACTATCTGCCTTTAGAAGGCAGAGCCTCAGAGCGCTAATCCATACAGAACTGATAATGACAAAATCAAGGAGTGGAAGAGTTTCAAGTTGGGCTGATCTCCGGGGGGGGAACTTCCTATTAATGGGGAGGAGCCTGCTGGATGGGATCGCACATTTCGGGATTTCGGGGATCAGAAAATTCAGGTAAGTAGGGATTTTAAAATGGGAAGATTTGTTCTTCATTGAGTCTAACCAATGTGTCAATTCATTTCACGATGACCTAATTAAAAAGGCTTTATAAAGTAGATGGATATACAGAAAGTTACTTAGCTCACGGGATCGCGACAATTACATTTTTCCAAAAGTGACTAAGAAGGGGTCTATATTTGGCCACAGAATAGACTATAATGGGCTATGGGTTCTGAGAGGCCAGCGGCACATACCCAACACAAATTAACTCAAGTAACCCCCGGGGGGCTGATCTTTTGTATATCCATAACACGAACGTAACCTAAAAAAAATTGTCGACTAGCAACTCTAGAAAGTAAGCAGTCAATTCTAATTATTACAAGGATTTTCCTGCAAAGCCATTCCTAAAAGTTTCAGTCACTCTTTTCTTTCAGAGGGGGGCATGGGGGTTTACGGTATTGCGGTAGTGAGCATTTTTTCAAGCGGTATTTCGGTAATTTTGATTTTAATGTGCGGTATTGCGGTATCATCCAGCCCCGCGGTGTGCGGTTTTTCATCCTTCTGGCTAACGGTATTCGGTAAAAGAAGATCCTTCACGGTACTGCGGTACTGTTCATTTGGCCTCTCCTGTCTAATGTAGGTCAATATTTGGAAGACTTTAGACTTAACGGTAAATGAATACACAATTTCTGGCAGTTACTCTATGATAAAATTGGTAGGAATCCAATCACCTGGCTTTTCAATCCTTGTACCGATCAATTCGAGATCTTCTCACGTTTTCTCGCGAAGGCTGAGGTTCATTTCTGGTGTATACAAGCTCGGATAAAAAAAAACACGCGAGATAGATACAATATTAAGTAAGCGTCACCGATCATAAATGCGGTATCGATATTTCGTTCATTTTCGACACGGTATCTCGGTATTTACCAATTTTTCGTACGGTATTGCGGTATTGGGTACCCCCCAATGTTCCCCTCCTTTCAATACCAAGTACCGGAGAAGGAGCATCGTTTTTATCGTGCAGTAGCACTTCGACTGTCCATCTTTAACAAATTGAAAGACATTTTTTTATTTTCTATCTAGCTCTCAAGGGCCTTAGCCTCTGCAAGCGCTGTGTCAGAGTACTAACAGGTCCAAAAATGGTGATATTTCAAAATCCAGTTGTTTGGATCAACTAACCATCAGGCCCCGGTTGATGTAAACGTTGGACAGTGCTATCTAACGGATAAATCACTATGCAGCGGATAAGTATTTGAGAAACCAATTACGCTTTACATTGGATAAAGCTTTATCCAGCGGATAGCGTTATCCATCTTTCCAACAACTCAGTCCAGAGAGAATAAAAATGGCCCAAGGACCGTGCCCTATACACCTTTGTTAATGTCTACATAACCAGTAATATAATCTTTCCTTTAACAACAACCATTTCTTCACAGTCTCTAAGAAAGCTGTTAAATTTTTGGATTGAGTATAGAAGACTTACTGAGCTTTTAGCAGACTATTTCTGGAAAGAAAGTGTCCAATCCTTTATTTAGGTCTTTTCCTACCTTTCCCTAGCCCCCTTTGTTTATGAGTGATATAAAGTGTACTCTCTAATCCCTGCGGATAAGATTTCTATACAGTTACTCCGACGATTTTCTGTAGGATAGCTGGTATCAGTTTCAGACAAAAGCGTCCGTTAAGCTAAATGTCGTTTCAATTTCTCGCAGCTGAATTGCTTAAGTTGTTTTAATAGATAACTAAACACACCTTGTGAATGTCTCCAAGTCCTGAAAGACAAAAAAAAGTCATGATTTATCAACATTAAGAACTGTATAGAATATGGTTTTTATTATTTTTTTACTTTTTCCTTTTTAACTTACCATATAAACATAAATAACGTTATCCATTTGATGATTATTATTTCCATACCCAAGCTTGGCCACTCCTGCAAGGCAGTAAAAAAAGTGAGCTGATTCGAGCAGGGCAGTGATATATATGATACCGTTTTAATTAAATATTGGGTTTCTTAAAAATGTCCTTAAAATCGAACTCGTTTTAACAACAGCTAAGAAATTAATAAATTTGCCAAAAAACAAGGGGATCAGATGGGAATAGATTAAATATACTCAAGTACCTTTTCACGATTTCCAATTAAAAATTTTGTGAGAATAAAACCTATCAATATTAGATTTGAACAATGTCATAAACGCTTTTCAGGTAATAGCCATATCTTAATTTCAATACACCTGTCCTTGATGCCACAGTTTTCAGTAACAATAAACTCTAGTTTTGTAAAAAGTTTTTACTCCTAGTTGAAAGAATTTCCTCCACCTTTACAATAGTAGTTGTGTTTTTCTTTTTCTTTTTTTATTTAGGTCAAAGGGGTTAGCGGCCACCAAAATACGATGGAATGAGTGGAGTATTGCTTTAATCACAAAACTATTAAAAAGCTTGATAAATCGCTCTTATCTAAATTAAACTTTGTGTCTCTGAGACCTGACTTTTCTTTTCCCGAAACAGCTGATTCCGTAGCATCCATTTTCAATTGGTCTGTTTTATCAAGCATAGGAACCGCCAGCACCACTCGTATTTATCATAGTGCTACTCTGATGTACGGTTCTCTGTCTCGTGCATTTCTCTCTTATGACATAATTATCCATATAAGCGAGTAAATGGCTTTTCTAACAGTCCTACAAATGTCTGTATGATTTTTATTGTTAGTCTTTTGCTTTTCTTTAAGATTTTTCCTTGCCCATCAAGAAAATATAAAGTTACTTTATCGGAAATACAAGACATTTTATGCAAAGAAGCTGATAAAATCACGATTTAACCGGAAGAGCGCCACTAATCAATATATCAATATAGCATTTTTGGTCCTAAAGCTTGGTACACAGAAACCCACCACCGGTCCTGACCATTTCGAAGGCAGAGGAGACCGTGAGATAACCACATTGGGTTTATCTAATTCCCACTCTCATTACGTAGTTACATGCTATCCGCCGTGTCTTAGCTGCTTCAATAAGACTCCTAACTAACAGTACTATTGAGATAATTGTTCAGATTTTAGTTGAGAATTACAAATACCCTTAAATATCTCCATGGCATCTCAAAAGCATTATGAAATTCACCTTCTACCTAATCTTTGCTTTACTGAATTGATGGTAATCACTACTGTTGCGTTTGATAAGAAAGTTGATATCGTGGTTAGAAGTTATCAATCACTAACCTTTCGCGATGTGTCCAAACGATTAAAAGTGTTCTCCTTTTTCTTTCTACTCGCTTAAATTTACCCAGATTGGTAAATATACTTGTCTTTGTATGACAGTTGTTCTCAAAAGAAGATTAAAAACTAGGTCAGTTTTAATTTGAAATTAATTTCAGTTGTTTCTGTGTTAAATAAACGCGCTTAAATGATATAATGGATTAATCTAATAAAGGGCAAACTCACATTTAATTGAGAAAAAGGGTAGTTTTGGAACTGTAAGAGAATCAGTTCCAAATAACTGTGTTTTCTTTCTTTTATAACTAGGAGCGCATACTTTAAATCGATAATATATGCCCATATATCGGATCATTCCACCAAGTCCTCCACCTACTTAAATATATTTTTTAATATTGCAAAAACCAGTCAAACGAAAACGATCAAATAAATTTGGCATTGCCAAACACAACACGCACACAAAACGGCAAACTAAGAAATATCACAATTAACAATCTATATTGATCAATAAACAAAGATGATTTTTGATTAAAGAAAAAGAAATTAAAGCTGCGTTTTTGCCGAGTGGAAGAAGTAGCAAAGGATACTTTCTTATTATTTTTGTTCACCATAAACTTACCATGGTTTACTAACAGTAGCTATGTTAAATGCGCGCCGTATTTGGTTTCGTATGCCGCTTTTTTTTTTCTTTTTTTTCTTTTTCTATGCATTTGCCTTTCTCGTTAATTTAAATCAAAAGAAAGAATAAGAATTATGATTATTGCAAATGGCGCGCGCCAGATTCTAGTTCTAGCTGATAAACACAACCATGAACAGATAAAACTGTGCCAAGTGATTCTTCTGGATGAACCGGACATGAATTATTTTTTATTTCACTTATCTCTGTGTAGATATTAGGAGCAGTAAATAATAATAAATGGAACGCGTTGTCATGTGGTTTACATGAACGGCATTTAGCGTTTCACCCGCTTAAGGGTTTTATCAGTTTCCAAAACATCAAACTTTATGGAAATTGATGGAAATTTTTATAAAGGTTAAAAAAAACTGCAAAAAAGTGAAAGGAGGATAAGAAATAAAGAGGATGGAGGAACGCTAAAATGCATCATCGTGAAAAACTACAGACTTGAACAAATTAGGCTAAAAAGCTACATGACGTATCCGTTGGTTAATAATGGAGGTTTTGAATCCGTTTCTCGTAGGTCTTCTAAAGATTGGCCTTAAGTCATGATCATCTTTGCAATGCCGTGAAGGTGTCTACGATCCACTATTTTAGACTACCTATCAGACAAGTCCATTCACCATTTTCACATAGTCCATAATGCACCTAGCCTCCCCGCAGACGTCCGTTGGGGTTCGTTTGTCACGCATTCATTTCTCCCCCACCTACGTCTGCTAAACAGAGCCGACATTTACGTTCACCAATCACAGGCCGTTTACGGATTTTTGTAAAACGTAACCCGAGCCGCTTCTTAAGATTTGCACGATTCAGTGAGGCTTTTGATCGGGTGTGCGAGAAATTTGGAATTAATACAGAGTTAAACAAGTATCAGAGAGAAGCTATATCCTGCAAATTTTATAGCGAAGATCAATGAGTTCATAATATTTGCCGACGGGATTTGGCAAATCCCTTACCTATCAAGCTTTGCCGCTTGTTTGCGACACAGTGCGTGGAACTACTGGACATATATTATTATTGTTGTTGTTTCACCCCTGGTAAATCTTGAAAGATCAAGCTACAAAGCTGGAAAATACTGGTATTCCTGCTGTCACGCTCAGTGAAATTAGCAAAGAGAATATGAGGGTTGTCGAGAGAGGGGCTTTCTCTGTTGTTTACGGAAGCCCAGAAGCTTGGTTGAAGATCGATCGGTGGAGGAGATGTTAGCGAGTGACTTGTACAGTTAGTATGTGGTCCTTGGTCCGCGACTTTCCCGAGCATGATTAAATATTTCGTCGCGAAATAAAATACAATGAACAATGAAAGTTTCAATGATTTATTGATTATAAGCATTCTTTCTCTCTTTGAAGGAGCGAGATTAAAGTTTGTTGACAGGTAAGTTAATTTGTCGTTCTAGCTTGAAGTTTGGACTTCGGCGGCACCGTGGTCATGTTTACTTAGCTTGTGAATAAATAAAACGAAACAGAAAGACGTGCCTTTTTGCAGAACAAGTTTTCAGATAAACCTTTTTCTGCCGTTGGAAGCACATTGCTGTAGACTTCGAATTTTTTGTTTTACCGGCTCTTGAAAAAATATAACCAGATTTCGCGTAGTGGTCCTTGGTCCGCGACCCATGACCTTGTTGGAATTACATTTCGCAAAAGAGGAAACGGCCTTTGTTTTTGAAGAATGCTTTGAAAATCTTCCCTATACACGTTTACAAGTGCCCCTTTCTTAATACTTCGAATATATACAGACTTAATAATAATTATTGTTTTCGACCGCGCTGAAAACCGCTCCGCGCTCGTGTGGGAGACTGTTGTCTGAAGTCTTTCAAAGAAAAGCAGATTATTTTATACTTACAACAACTTCCGAAAAAACTATACAGCTGACTACACTACAGCTTTATTGCATCATTTCTGTGATTTGTTTTTAACGTTTGAGTCGTCTCAGGTAGAAGATAGCTGTGCAAATAAATAATTCACTTGAAGAATACAAAGACGCGTCAACGTCCAGAGCACGTAGGTTACGTTTCACTAAAATCACAGCCCGTGATTGGCTGATCGTGACACAATGACTAACCGCCTATTGGCTTATTCAAACAATCCAGAACGTAAATGTTGGCTCTGTTTAGCAGACGTCCGTGGGGGAGAAATGAATGCGTGACAAACGAGCCCCAACGGACGTCTGCGGGGAGGCTATAATGCACCTTGTTTACCCCACAAAGCTTAGACTGCTCCCCAGTCTATTTTTATTTTTTTTTGTCCGCGACTAGACCCGTACCTCTACTCGGTCGATTTATCCGTCAATGAAGTTAAGAGGATGAGGATCCGTATTGTACTTCAAAAGACAATATGATACACCTTTAGAGCTGGGTAGCTGTAAGTAAAACATTTGAGTTGCTAATCTTCCTTCGACCTACTTTAAACGCCAAAGCTAAAAGGCAAAAAATGTGAACGAATTTCACTAAGAAGTAAGAAGATCAAACTTTGGTAAATAATCATACCGAAGTTTTGCATTAGACAAAGTCAAAACACAGCACGTACCAAGAAAACTACATTGACAGAGTTTACAAATATAGCGTAAACATTAACTGAATTTCTGCAGGTGGTGCAACAAAGCCACTTAACAATTTGCTGCTCTTCGTTTGAATAAATTTGCTATAAATAAGTGATGAACACTTCGCTATATGGCAAAGCGTCACGTAAAGATAATCGTTGCTCTTGACCAATACCAAATGACAATGCATGTTGTCCACTTATACAGTGTACATTAGAGTGAAAGCTTGTATAGCTGTCGCGTGAATGAAATGACGTAATCTCTTAGCCACCAAAAACGAATTTAAATGTGTTATTGCCTGTGAATTGTAACAACATATATCGTGTGGAACTGACATTGCCAAACATTTTCTTTTATCCAATAAGAACGTGATATCATTGTTGTTAGTTTGTAACAACATATTTTTCAAAGGTTTCAAACGGCTTTGAAAGGGTGCATTCAAGAGAAAGACGTTGTGAGGTATATTCGATAAACTATAGTACCAACTAACAAGTATGTTAAATTGATTTTCTTCCGTGACGTTTCAAACCTAGGGGTATTTTGTGATCAAAACATTTAGATAATTGGGCGCTTCTGGTTAGAATAGATTTTTATCAACAATAACAGCCAACCAAGTTTGAGATCGGCGATATAAACGAACGATTGGTTGCCAAAATTTATACAACATAATCAACACACTACAGCAATACAAAAAGTTAACGCGCTTCCTTAGTATAGTAAGCTTATAATGAAGAAATCTTCTGCATAACTAAGAAGATTACATAAAATTTGGCGTGAAATGGACTAGACGTTCATAATGGGCCAAATGTTTGTTTTAATTTTCACCATCAATCACACTGGCTTCAGCCTAGTAATCATTCATGAACCGCACAGAAATTTCTCTGTTACTTCAGAAAGTTAGCCGCTTATTAAAAACAAGTAGGGTTCTACTGACTACGTAAGTAATAAATCAACCCTTGAATAAAAAAAGAAATTAAGAAGCGTGCAGCAATCCTGTCCTTATTACTGGCTACCCCTACAGGCGGTTTACAACGCAAGAGAAGTTGTGCCATTGGGCTGGCATAATTGAATGAATGGTGTAAAGTTTAATGTAGGTTGTGTCAGTTTTAAATGAAAAATGAGTGCGAGTCGTTGTTTTGTTTTGTTTTTGTTTTTTTTTTTTTTTTTTTTTTTAACTGGTGTCATAAAGGTTATTCGCCCAGAAGAATAGCCTGGTGACAGGCCCTAATGTACGGTGGTCCTCTCGACTCTTAGTTGGCCGCTAATACGAATTACTGTGGCAACATTCAACAGTGTCAACACCACTTTTTTGTCTGTCACTTAAATTTTAATATGTGAATATTTTATTGTCATTCACAGCTGGCTAAACCCGCAAGCAGTCCTGAACTGCTGCGTCCCTGTTATTCAACGTATAAAAATGATTAGTCTTCTTGCTAAAAAGACGCTGCTACGCGTGATCACGTTTTACGCGTATGGTTTATTCGTGGCTTGGATTTTTACCTTGATAGAAAAAAGAGATGAGCCAAGTTACGAGAGGAGGGAAAAGATGTTAGAGACGCTTGAGAGGGAATTGCACTTAAGGTATAACATGACAGATAAGGACTTTAACAATTTTGTGAAAAGAACTGAAAACGCCGTGAAGGCGGGCGATGAACTGGACTGGACTTTTCTTAACAGTGCTGGATTTGTCTTTGCTGCTCTCACCACAATAGGTAAGACTGAAAAAATTAAATGGTGGATCCACCTTGTTTGTAGCGTCGTCTACTTGAAAGTCCCAATAACAAGTAGGCTCGCGTAATAATATACTTAATAGGTGGCTATATGGATCAGCCAACATCTGAAAATGGATTTTCGTGTTATCCGTTCAAGTAGAATTACCCAAGATCTTTCCCGCCAAGACTTAATATTTTAAAAATATGCACCTAACTTATCAACTTCTGCTCCAACCTCAACTTTTATTACTTGATTATTTTTTAAATTTTCGTAAATTGTATTCAACTCTGCTCTCTGCAAGTAGCGAAAAGCGTATGAAGGCGGATTTAACTCGAAGGAAAGAAACAAAGTATTTAACGTCACATTTTTTTAAAGCTGAAACAACGGGTGGAAACAAAAGGGAGGTCAAAATAGACGATTAACTTGCATGTCCAAGCCTTGAATTATAAAAGATCATCTCTTGCGTCGATTTACATAATATTGACACATTCATGAAAGCTGACTGGGATGAATAACTATTAGTTATCAAGGCTTATTGCCGTCTGCCTTTACACGCACACTGCGCAATTTCAGTAGGTATAAAAATAGCTATTACATGCATATGACACTAAAATTCTCATAATGGACGCGTTTTAGGGTATATATCCTTACAAACAACGGAAGCAGGTGGATTTGACCAATTTGTCATCACGCAACAATAAAAGGAGGGAAAATCGAAAAATAGGGAACAGAAAATAAGCTTTGTATTTAGAATGTTACTCTGTTTTTGTTAAAGGTTATTTTTCACGTGATTAGGTGTTAAGTGCTTTTAGAAATGTTATGCAAAATGCTCAACATTTAAGTACAAGTACACTCGATTTAATTAAAGGTAAATAACACCAGTTGAAGCAAATTTGCATTGACCAGTTCTGAGATGAGAAACGCGTCAAATGATCATTCATTTAGCCAGTCATCTTGTTTTGGTCTCCACAAGCTGTTAGAAAAAATGAAGGACGGGCAGTTTGTTTCTGTATTTTCCGCTTGAGTAAAATTAATCTTTAAATATTGGCGAACGAAACGTAGCAGGCGCGACCGTTGCCATGGTGTTCATACCGCAAGTTGTCACCCGGTTGTCAGCCGATTCCAATTCACCGCGTGAAAAAGCCTTTACTGCGGTCAGAATAAATGCTACATGAACGCAAGTACAACTCTAAATTAAAATGCAAATAAAACCTGTGTTTCCTGAAAATAAACAAGCTGATCAGAACAGCCTATAATTTGACGTAGAACACAAAATGTTTTTAAATACCGCTATTTATTTATTTTATTTTTTTCGAGAAAAGCTCTCTTACTCCAAAATGATAATTCTGCCTTTTTACAACATCACCGCATAATCATTATTTTTTATTTGCTCGTCATTGTAATTAAAATTTCCACAGCAGTGAGTAAACAGTGGCAGACGATCTCAGCAAGCCCTAGAATCTGAGCTTCAGTCAAGGAAGGTCTCTTTTTTAATCCTTTTTCATCAAGCCATTTCTTTTCTGAGTTTGAAATAAGAATTTTGGCCAAATAACAACTTTTCTTTCTTATGAATAAAAATCAGCTGATATGCTCTATTAAGCGATAAACTTGTAAAAACCTTCCTCGTTTCGACTAAAAGGAGTTGCCCTACCTATCATCCTTATCGATTAACTTCTAGGTACGATTTTTATAAACGCCAAGAAAAAAATCCGCTTCGTTAGCTCTCTTTCTAAGTCCATGTATGAGACCTCTCGGTTTGATTTAACATGACTCAGGCGCTTTCCCTTCTAAAACGGATCGATTTTATGTTTTTTTCTTCTCAGCAGCTGTTTACTGATGTATTCAACCCATGTTGGCAACAAAAAAAAAATAATACAGCGCACAAATAGAGTCAGAGTGACTAATTCGCAATGATTGTCTGACTTTTGTCATTTTTGTCGTTTTAATTACAAATTCAGACAAACATGACATTTTAAATAATGTCATGGAATTCGCTAATGTTAATTTCAATTCGTCTATTTTTCATTTCTATGAATTTTAACTGCACGCAGCGCTATTGGTGACAGTCATTGGTTACAACAAAGTCATAAGCAACATAAAATTAAGTGAAGCACATTTTCGCAGTTTTTGAGCAAAAACAAACATAGCAAAAGCTGCAAGATATTCATTTATTCAAATTCGCATTACGACTGAAAGAAATAGAGCAGATAAGTTTTACTAAAACTATGAATAATAATAACATACTTGAAGCGTTGTAAAAAAAGTCCCAATGCGCCTTAAAACGTTTTAAAAATAATAGAACAAATAAATATTCAACAAAGGTATTGTTCCAACTAGCCACACCTACCCTTTCACCGCCACCAAGCCAAGACCTCAATTTTATATCAAGGTTGGGGTTTAGCCTGAAATTCATCCGATTGCTTCTAGTCGTTTTATTACTGAGGGAGTAATAACGACTCGAAGAAATCGGACGAAATTCAGGCTAGGTTGGGGTTTAAATATTGAAGAATAATGTTTTATTTTGGGTTTCAGGATTCGGGCATATCACACCAAAGAATCCCTCTGGACAAGGCATCACCATTCTGTTTTGTCTAATTGGTATTCCTATAACCATGCTGGCAATGAAATCGGCGGGTGAGCTCTGGGCGAGTTCCATCGAGTTCATTGTGAGAAAAATAGAGAAAGATTTCCTTAAAAGAGGTCAACCATCGCACGTTAAGAAGAAGACACTATTCGTCGCATGTACTTTGACCGTGCTTGTGCTGATCCTCGCAGCTATTTCCACGGCTCACCTCGAGGACTGGACTTTTATAGAAAGCTTGTATGCATGGTTCATCTCTTTGACAACGATTGGTTTTGGCGATTATGTGCACCTGAAGAAAATGCAGAGAGATGTCGATGAAGGAAAAGCTAAGGAGTCTACTCTTCTACTTTATGGCATGCTACTATCACTGCCTTATATGATAGGACTAAGTCTCATGTCGTGTATTTTGTCAATTCTCGTGGACTCCATCGACCATATTCGAAATTTTCGTGATCGGGTTTTCAAACTCTCGTCGAGTTGCAACAAGTCAGCAGCGGGAAAAGGGATTTCAAGAGAGGGTGAGCAGAGTGGTCAATCGGTTAATTCAGGCGCAAACACAACAATTGTATAAGAGAACAAAGAAATCGATACAAACGTAGAAAAGTAATCGTCAGCGTGAAGAGTTGACACTATAAAACCACAAAAAAAAGACAACAACAACAACAGAGTAAAACAGTGCTCGGCAATTTTTTTTTGAAGTGAAGTGTGTAATGTTTAGAGAGAAGGGTCGAAAACTAGCCACGAGGACCCAGGGAGTATAAAATAGTACAGCTTTGGGTGCATAAACTATCGTTAGTGGATAGTTTGAAATTATTTACAGTGCAACGGTTTAGTTTTCCGATTGGTTTAAGGGCTCCTCGGAAATATTTTCAAATTTTGAAATACAACATTTTATTCAATAGTTCAATTCACAATTAATATAATCTTCCTATCCGAAAAAAACAACTGACATTTCGCGACACCGCCGACTGGTTTCAAGGGGAAACCAGTGGTGGCGTCGCAGAATGTCGGCTGTTTTCTCAAGCTACCATTCTCTTTGCTGAGAAACGCCCTGGGGGGAGGGAGGTACTCCCTTACAAGAGGCCAATAGGGATGTGCCGCTGGATGGGCTCGCATTTTCACGACTGGAGTGACTATTATGGGGTCGCATTTTCAATAGATTTACTAGACTGGGGTAGCAAATTTTCGGATTTTTGGG